GTGGTGGTGGTGGTGGTGGTGGCGGGGTTCGAGTCTCGGACTACAGGGTCCAAAGCACGCCGGTGACAGCGTCTAAGCCACTGCGCCACCATCACATACAACCTTTCTTTATCCCCCCTGGTTGTAGTGTTTTCTAATCTGCTTTGCCAAGCAAACTTACTTGATTGACCCAAAGCACGCTTGGACGGATAACTTTTTCACGAATAAGAGATAAATGTACGTTGGTGAATATAATCATCAACTACTGAGGCAAGAGACAGTTATCTAATCTATGAGATTCGAATCATAATGTAACGGTAGTAACTGGACACAAGTTCAATTTTACCCAAACTATCACTTGTATGCCCATCAAATTCTATGGGATTATCTGATTAGAACACACGTACTACTTATTTATAGAGGACCGACCTTTATTTGTTTTAGAATGATCACATCAGCTTTTCCTCTTTCTTGAAGCATTTTTTGGATTTCGTACACTCGTTTGGAATCGAATTGTTCACTTAATTTTTGCCGGTCATCATTCGCACTTCTCCGTTTTATCTGATCGGTCTGCAGGAACGAAACGTTGAATTGGCTGCGCAACTGGAAAAACGAAGCCGTGCCCACGAACGCGCCGTGGCTAAATTGTCAGTCATTCAGGAACAAGCCACTCGTGCAGCCAATCAGGCAGCCAGTGATCGGGCCAATCTCGAACAGACAGCTCAACGTGATGTTTCCAGAGCACAAGAACAGGTAAATCATTTTTTTGAAATGCCTATTTTTCTTGATTATTAAAACCATAAATGTATAATTATGACTCGGGTTTATTAGTCTATTGAAGGAATACCTGCTCAGCGGGACAAAAATGCAAACTTTTTTTTCCCCACCAGTTGAGTTTTGTACTATCCGGGCTTGTGTACTGAACAGCAGAAGGGATAAACCGCATAAGCATGAGAATTTATGTATTGTCCGCCTCACGATAACGGGGAACGTAAGTTTTGGTGAACTACATGAGGTCGTGCTAGTGTATATATTATATATTTTCACACACGTCTGAATCCAGACTGTGTGCCAAACAAATCATGGTACAATAATCGTTATAAAAAAGATAAACCTTCCATGAATTCCTTGTGGGCCGAATACCGCCAGGTTGCCCAGGCCAAGTCAGGTAAATTTTCTTGAGGAATCCACAACCGGAACCTTCGTCTCGCCAAAGCCTGACCCACAAGGCAGCGGGGCGGTGTGCGAAAACCGCAATCCATTGAGAGCTGGTGTCCAGTTCATCGAATTTTTCGCCCTTTGGACGGGGTCAAGTGTCTAAGGTGCCCACTGCCACAACCAGGAAGTTGTGTGTGTGGTTCCTACACCTCCTCTTGGTTGGTTTGGAATCAGGGCTTTTGACCAACTCCCCTAGGTGAACTACCAGTGGTCCACCAACCCGGCTATAGCCCCAGATATTAGCTTTTCGTCCCCTCACTGGTGAGCAAACACCTCTGCCACGAGAAGACAGTCAGTAGGGCTTCCTCAGCAGAGGCTATTTGAGACACTTGGTCGTATGGGGGCATTTCGTGAGGTGCAAGGGAAGGGTGATCAGCCGCAACCCTAGACACCCACCCCCGACCATACTGAGGCCTTTGGAGGCGGTCGCGCTAGTGTTGATGTGGCATTGACCTGGACGATAGCGAAGCTGTGTATTGCCATACTTGAGTGACAGTCGCAAGTTTCGAGCTTCGGATCACATAATCCAAAGCATGCCTGTGACAGTGACTTTAACCTCTTGATCATTACTATTGGGTAAATAGTATTAACCATGCTAATTACCAATTGCTGAGTGGCGCGTGCGCCTATTAACAAGGTCTGGGGTTTTAAACCCCTGCTCACCACCATCCAGCTTCGGTTGTTGACAACCTCTCGGATCGACCGGAGTGATACAACACCGACTGACACCGTCCTCTTGTCGCCTTATGCGGGTTTCTGTTCGAAAACCTAGGTGGTAGGCAGTTCTGTTGTCGTTCGGTTCAATACCGCGCCTGACCTATCGGGTCCTTACGTGGTTCGCCACTCCAAGTTCCGGGGTTTAGGTTGCCGGTTTCCACCATTGAACAGCCTGTCCTCGTGACTATGGGATTCACCCCATCTGCTGTTTATCACACTTAGGTGTGTAATAAAAAAGGGTCAAAGTTACTGGTTCCGATTATCGGGAGGTAGACCTCTTCTACTGTTCATCAAACCAATAAACGTAATAAAAAGTGACACATTTTTCATTCATTACGCAAATTTCATTCGCCTATCACAGCTTTGGCTTTACTCACCTTATTCAGTGCTCATCATTATCTTTTTTACTCGTCTCCAACCGTTTCACTAGATTCGGGCGCATGCACAAACTATCGGCGCTTTGGTAGCTGAAAAAACTGAACTGCAGACAAGAGTACAACACTTGGAACGTTTGTCTCAACAACGCGCTCAGGTAGGTGTGATGAAAAACGGTA